TTGATCAACACCAAGCCACGTGCATGATAACATTTAATCATTATCACCAATCCTGAACTGGATAATAACAATTTCAAGAAATCCATTCCCATCCTGCTTGCATCTCATTACCTTTCTCCACGTATAGGTAATCTTTCAAATTAGACTCCACCTTGGTTACTAATTGATGCCACCACGTGCTAGGACTATCCTCACCCGTGTTGAATGCTAAGAATCCCTAATTAAATCTAATTGTTATGCTTGCTTCAATACAGCTTGCGCCGTATTTATCTCGTACAAGAAAAGTGTCAAGATAATTCATTATTAAAAGATAATTATTATGATTAAAAGTCATAATATTATCCCATAACAACAACAAAATTATCTTAACTTTTCCTACCCGATGGTGTGAAGCTATACTTACTCAACGGCCTCGATTACTCGAGCCGATGGTGTAAATTTGGGTCCAAACATTGCCCCCCAGTTTCCTTGAGCTTTGACTCGTAAGCCGAATGATTAAGGAAATTATACTTTTTGAACACTCCACATATCCACCACACCCGAGCATTCATGAAACCAAAAGACATTGAAACCAACTCATTTACCACAAAGGGACAATTCGTCGAACAACAAAAACCTTTTCAATACATAACTTGGCAAAAATTTAATAGACCTGCCGAGTTCGGTGAGAATCTTAGCAAATTAGGCCGAGGTTAATGAGTTGGCAGAGTTTTGCATTTATGCCGAAATTATTGTGTGATTGCATGCATAAGGTTGCCATTCGGCGAAAAGCTTCTATTCAGGTTATATATATATATATATATATATATATATATATATATATATATATATATATATATACACATACACACACACACACGGCACTAGGCCATAATGATGTTGGCTTGAAAATATATATATTATGTAGACGGCAAGCCGAATGGCCATATACATGTATACATGAATGATCCCACACTCGGCAATAATGCCTTGCCGAGCTCGGCAATAATGCCTTGCCGAGCTCGGCAATAATGCCTTGACGAGCTCGGCATGTATGTTATATACAGTTTTGTAAAGCGAGCCAAAGCCGAGGCCGAGGAGACTATAGCCTATATATATATATATATATATATATATATATATATATATATATATATCATTCGGCCAAACTTCTTTCATTCGGCAAAACTTTATTTATTTATTTAATTTTTTTTTTCTTCAACCACTTCGGCTGAAAGTAGCTTTTTTTCTTTCTTTTATATACATATATTTGGCCTAAACTAATATATATAAGTTTGGATTGCTTCCTCGACCAGCTAATATTTAGATTGCCGCACTGTTGTTACTCCCCTTATTTTCTTATGCATCGGCTTAATTAGCCAGATGATTAAGAAAATAATTTTTTTTTTCTAAATGGAAATAAAAGTGGCCGAACCATAGTTAGGAGGAGGCCAACGATGCTTTATTCCAAGCCAAGATCTTGTAATAACAAAATTTTGAAATTGATTTCACCTTAGGCTGAATAAAGAATTTTCTTCAAATATTTTTGACTTGGCGAAATATTTTTCATTTTCGGCCGCCAAATATGTTAGACAAATATTATGCCCCCCAGGCATAATTACGTTGTTAATTTCAGCTTCGAACTCAAATAACTTGGCCCAATGGAATTTCTCTATATCGGCTTTATTGCCGATAATCATATCGATTAGCATAGTTTCGGCGTCAATTTTTTGCTCAGAAACTTGAACGTTTTCTTCTAGGCCTACCACATTTTCAGTCTCGACTGAAAAAACAAGTGGCCTAGGTTTTTCTTTGGCCATCTCGACAATCTTCTTAGGCCGAATTTTAATTGTGGCCAGAGCGAAAAATTGCCCCTCAGTCTTTTGAGCCAACCATTCTTCAAATGGAATTGATTTGAACCAAAAAGACATTTTTTTATCAAGCCACTCATAATATCGAGCTCTATCTTCATTTAACCATTGATCTTGTAAGCTATGATGAACCTTCACCTTTATCATTTGAGAGAAAGATTTTGCCTTTCTTTATTTGCTTCAACGATCCAGTCAAGGTGTTTTTGTTGCTCGACAACTTCCTTGAGTAGGCGCCAAATCTCATCTTGCTCGTGATCTTGATATATCATGTGAACTTCCTAGTTTTAGCACTGGGTCCCACAGGGCGTGCCAAAATGTTGACCCTAAAAACTACCAAGCCTACGTGGCGCGCATGCCGAGTAATCTATGAGCTAACTACGTCCTTCGATTAAATGCGGGGCGTGCCAACTCGTCGGCTGAGCTCGACCGAGGAGTAAAATTTGTTGATGTTGTGTTGGGTGCACTACTAACTTCTTGATCTTGTGATTGTGGCCGAGGAAGGAACACGTCTCGGCCTTCAGGTTCTAGAGCTTGAAGACAAGGCTGCTAACTTAGCGAAGTTCAATATCCAATTCGGCTTCCAATATGCCGAATGTACTAACTCGTAACACCTCACTTTGCCGAGAAGACTGATGACATAACCTCGACCAATAAGGATTCAGAAATCCTTCTCGACAGAGACTTGGATAGGTAATCAACCGTCCTCGCCGCAGTGCTGTTGATGCCAACGGAAGATGCTGCGAGATCGGCTGATTCTACGGTGACAGAGTTATCTATGCCGACTTAAGATATCACCGGTTGCTTTCACAGTGCTGTTGATGCCAACGGAAGATGTATCAGTGAAAAGAGAAAATAAAAATCTCAATTGTTGAGAGAGTTTGCGCAGGGCAGTTGTGTGTTGAATTGGAGATCCCCGAATGATGCATGACCCCTTTGTATTTATAGTAGCAGAACACTAGGATTGTCGATGTAAATAATGGGAATATTCTCTCAAGTATGCATGATCCCTTAACCTTAGAAACCAACCGAGACTTAAACTTCTTGAATTATCCCAAATGGATCCCGTGGCCTTGATGATTTCCTAGAAACCAACCGAGACTAAACCTCTTGAATTATCCCATATTTTCCTCATACTCTTATGCTGATTACCCCACACATGCATGAATTGCATGAGATTGGCTCATTTCCCACGAAAGTACATGATTATTCCATCATCTTGATCAGCACCAAGCCACGTGCATGATAACATTTAATCATTATCACCAATCCTGAACTGGATAATAACAATTTCAAGAAATCCATTCCCATCCTGCTTGCATCTCATTACCTTTCTCCACGTATAGGTAATCTTTCAAATTAGACTCCACCTTGGTTACTAATTGATGCCACCACGTGCTAGGACTATCCTCACCCGTGTTGAATGCTAAGAATCCCAAATTAAATCTAACTATTATGCTTGCTTCAATACAACTTGCGCCGTATTCATCTCGTACAAGAAAAGTGTCAAGATAACTCATTATTAAAAGATAATTATTATGATTAAAAGTCATAATATTATCCCATAACAACAACAAAATTATCTTAACTTTTCCTACCCGACGGTGTGAAACTATACTTACTCAACGGCCTCGATTACTCGAGCCGATGATGTAAATTTGTGTCCAAACAGTTACATTATTTGAACAAAAACTTATACCATAAGAAATGCTTGTTTTACTGCCCTGTGATCATTTTTATCATATATTTACTGGGAGTAGTCCAATGTGAGATAGAGTGGAAATGTATCATTAGGATTAGGATAGGTCATATATATATTTGATCCTTTCCAAGAAACATTTTATTTAATAATTTACTGTCGAGTGAAATTGCTTGCAAAAACAGTACCAGCCATGACAGTAGCGATTATGACCATGACCACAGGATAAAAAACAAGAAAAGAAAAAGTCAGTTTATATTTTGGGAGTTTTAACCAAATATTTTTGGTAATGTTTACTTTTAATAAAAAAATTACATTTTTATTTTTTCTTGGTACTATTCACTACAACTGTATTTGTCATTTTTCATTAAAATTAAAGTTTTTTTGGACCTTCCGTTAATTTTTCTTTATATTTTTGGTCTACAGATTTAATTGATTGTCACTTAAGTTTCTAATAATTTAAGTTGCAATCGTAACCTTGTTATGTTTCATCTAGTTTGCAGCCAAATACAAAAAACCTCAACTCAGGTGGAAATCAAGCCAAACATTTCACCAAAAAAAAAAAAAAAAGAAATCAGGCCAACTATACATAGGGGATGAAAATGATAGTGTATTGCCCTGTCAACACTCCATCAAAATGCTAGATGGAGTTCATTTTCATCTTTAATTGCAAACTAAACCAAACTTCAATGGTACACATTAGAGGATTTGGATCCCATCTAGATCTAAATTGTGGGGATCCTAGGGATCCTTACATCCTAACCGTTAATCATATATCGTATGATCATAAATTATTTAAAATTTTATTATTTAAAATTAAACATAAATAGTAATTGACGAAAACTATCTGCGTGATATACAATGAACGATCTTAATATGAGGATCCTTAGGTTCCCCACAAAGAGGATCTGGAGAAGACCCTCATCCCACATTATAAACTATAAGGTCTTGATGGAATGTCTCTTTCTGTCATTTAATTAGGAGGAAAACTTAAGCCCTACGTGGATGGACTTTTTCCAGGGAGTCTCCTAGGAAAACACACTTTTCCACTTAAACTGTTTTCAGCATTTAAGGGATCAAGTAAGTGTGAATTTGACATTCTTGAAAATTTAAGCAAATAAACACATATAATATGCTACTAAACCTTTTAGAATGAGTAGTCAGAATATCAAAAACTTATTAGCTAGATGTCAAAAGTACACAGTTTTTCATTTTAGAGTGTATTTGGACTTTATACAAACAGAAAAGGTTAAGTACAGACAACCTCTAAGCTACAGAGTTATTTTCACATTGGTACCCAAACTACTAAAGGGACACAATATGTAATTTAACAAAACAAAAAAATCTCAAGTGATGAAAAGATGCTGGTGGTTGGTACGAAACCTCCCAATAAATCATAAGCAACATGAAGAGACTATAAATTTGACCTCTCTTTTTGGTAGGTTACTCTAAATTTGCAACCCATGTTTAAGCGAGCGATCACATACTTGAGCAGGAGCGACTCAGATTTGGGAGAGCAAGTAGTTAGGTTTGGCAAGGAACATGAGTTTGCAGACATCATATGGTACCCTAGCCAGCACAAGGCTGTCTATCAGATGGATGATTGTGTCTCCACAAATACCTCTGGCAATGGCCTATATGACTTCATTCCTTTTCGAGCCACACCTTCACTTGCTATTGCAGATATCAGAGCCAAAGGTTTGTTTACTATATATATTACAAGATTTTACAAAACGAACCATATATAAATGTGTGTGGGTGATGTAAAATCTTGAAACGTAATGTTGCATTACTCATATAATATTACAACACTCATTTTTTATTTTCACTAGACTCCTACATAACAAAAAATTGTGAATTAGTTTGTCGGAGACTTTGAGATTTGATACTTTGACATCTTATGTTAAAGCTTGAATTAAGACTGCACATTCATAAGTGATTTCAAATAATTTAATTTATCCATCCAAAGTGTGAAAGCATAATATATCAAGTTGTAGACACCCTTACTTATTTTATATATAGTGCACATTTCGCATATGTACATTATTTTTATAAAAGAATTCAATTTTTTTATTTATCCATGTGTCTTTGTGTGTTATTATGGTAGAGGAGAACCAAGAATTTCAGAGTGATGCTGATGGGAAATGCACTAGTGCAAAGTTGGTTACATCTACTCTCATTACAAGTGCTTATGGTTTGACAAACAATGGTATGCATTATTTCTGGTATTTCCTGCTTAATCATTCTGAACTCCATTTCTAAGCAAAAAAAGGTACTTCCAAACAATATTAATTTCAAACAGGTCTGTTTTTTACTGGCTATCCTGTTATTGGATATCAGCATCGGCTTCAGTCATCCGGGACTTGCTTAGATAGTCTTGAGGATTCAAGGATCACAGCATGCCCATGGGACCCCAAAATCAAGGGTGAGTTTTTTCATCTAACAACATTCAGCATTAACTTGTCTCTGGCTAAGAACTTCATTCAAGATGTGCAAAAGCTAGTTGAGATTGAACCAAAAGCGCTATGTGGAGTAGAAATCTACAACGGGATCCTAATGCGGTATGTTACTACCTCAAGCGCTTACCTTGGCAAGCAAGAAGATGCAGTCGACTTTGATATCACATATTATCGTAGTAAAGACCCAATGACACCTAGACTTTATGAAGGAATACTTGAAGAAATAGAGCAACTTGCTCTTGTTAAGTATAAAGCATTGCCTCATTGGGGAAAAAATCGGAACATAGCGTTTGATGGAGTGATGAACAAGTACAAGGGTTCTGAAGAGTTCTTGAGGGTCAAAGATGTTTACGATCCAATGGGGCTCTTCTCTAGTGAATGGACAGACCAAGTTCTTGGAATTAAGGATGGGGTGACAATAGTTAAGGAAGGGTGTGCACTAGAAGGGTTGTGCATCTGCTCAAAAGACATTCATTGTGCCCCAAGCAAAGGCTATTTCTGTAGGCCTGGCAAAGTTTTTAACGATGCTAGGATTTGTACCCATGTGACTACGAACCAAGCTAGTTAACTAGTTAATGTCACGTCGTCAATAATGTAATTTGATTGGGAGGGTTTTGCTTGCAGTACCAGTTGTTTGCAAAATTGCCTTCTGTTGGTTGTTGTAGTAACTAAATAAATTAAACAACTTACGAATATAGGTAGCAATAAGCTTGGAAGCATATGCATATATATACAACAGTCTTCCTAGATGTTATTTTCTCCGTTCTCTAAACAGTCAAGAAGCACTACTAGAAATTGCTCATAAGCTTTGCAACAGGACCTCAATAGCCTGTTCCAATTGTGCCCAAAATTCCACTCCATGAAGCAAAATGATCATATGATTGACACTGTATAAGAAATTAAAAATAAAAATAAATAGAAATAGAAATAAAAAAGAGAAAATGAGGATCCATCCCACCTTTATTGCAATTTTTTTTTTTTTAGAAGAAGTACAATATTCATTAATTTAGAAAATATAACGTACATTCTCGGAGGAAAGTGTGCTTACATGAGTCTCTATAAAACCTTGCTGGGATTTTCGACCTGGTCAAACGAAAAAGAGTGTCCTGCACATCAACGTAGAGTTAACCATCCTCTAGAACAAATGTGAAAAGAAAATTACATAGAGGCATCCTCAAAGAGAACATCGGTTATGAAATTCGGTGGTTCCTCAAACCACATCACCTCCTGCTGACATCCAATGCATGCCCTTGCAAGTCTATGAGCTACATTATTCGCTTGGCGACGAATCAAATTGAAGTTCTTCTGGGAGATGTCTCTTATAAAAGTTCTGATGTCATTAATAAGGGACCCAAGGAAAGAGGTATCGTCCCCGTGATTCTTCATGGCTGCCAGTGTCAGACTCGAATCGCCTTCGAAGATTATTCGGCAGCCATCCACAAAATGGTCCTGGACACAAAATTGGCCCAGCGCGAACGCGTGATCCCTGGCTTGGCTCCACGTGGTTGCCGATGTGTGGAACTCCATGTATGACCCATAAAATAGGGTCTCACGTGCGGGGGAGTGTTAGAATTCCTTTATCCCACATCGGCCAGAAGGCTTGAGAACAAGCCATTTATATAGAATTACCCTACTCTAACTAACATCGAGGCCTTTTGTATTAAAACCTCACACCTGACGGATTGAGCAGATGGCCAAGTAAGGACAGTATCGGTGTTGTTGGAGTGGACCCATGACCCGTCTACCTGAAATTTAAGACTTCGAACAGAAAATTTACCGTTACGTTCAAAGTGCCAAATTTCCTGATCCGGAGTATCTCGTACACTACGCGAGATAGACAATATCACGTCCACCTCTTCAGGACTGAACAATTGCTCCAACAGATCTTTATTCCAAGTAGAAGTATCGTTAAGAAAAACTTAATAAACGTAGCCTCGCAATTCCACGGAACTGACGGTGGACTTACCACCTTAAAAAACCTATCCCTTGGGAGCCAATTGTCCTTCCATATTTTGATAGTACCCCCATTACCCACCTGCCACCTTAATCCTTTCATGAGCACCTTGCGAGAAGCAGCTATGCTTCTACAACAGTCTAAAAACAAGTGACTGGGATTCTGGACGAAACGCCAAGCTTGCTTGGATAGTAAAGCAAGATTAAACGAGTGTTAAGTCTCGGAAGCCTAAACCTCCTTCCGTATTAGGCTTGCATAAAGTTCTCCAATTTATCCAATGTATCTTCTTTTTACTTGGCTCTCCACTCCACCAAAACTTGGCAATCATCCTATTAAGCTCTTCACAAAATGTCTTTGGTAATAGGAAGCATTGCATCGTGTACGTTGGTAACGATTGTGCCACGGTTTTGAGTAGCACCTCCCTCCCTGCACTACTTTACAGTTCTCCCCGCCACCCTTGTAATTTCTTGCAAAGGCGGTCTTTTACATAAGCAAAAGTCCTCCCCGTCACCTTTATTGCAATTGTTTAACTAAAGATTTGTGACTTTTGTATTAATAACATTTCATTAATAGTTCATTTAAACATAATCCAATTTCTCTTTCTATTTTTGGTAATCCAGAATCCAATATTTCATTTAAACCGAATCCAAGTCCTTAAGTAGGAGTGTTTTCCCTTAAATAGAGTTATCTAATAATTAGGAAAGTGATATTCAATAATATTGACAAAAATACATGGATACTGTTAGAAGTGGCTTGGTTTTGCCCCGAAAATGCAGTTAAATCAACCAGTTAAGCGATGTGATTTAGCTCGACTTTGAATAAAGTTGAGGTTCACCAAAAAACCAATTGACAATATGGAGAGAAGTCCAACCTCTTATAAGCCCTTGCAAGGTTTTTTTTTTTACCAATGTGGAACTCTTTTACCTTCACATCTTCACACGTCCCCTCACATGTGATGAATTTTCAAGCCAAACATGTGTATAACACGAATTAGGTAACGCGTAGCATGTGTGGTTATTGGGTTTCAGACGTGGGCCAACTTACTCTGATACCACAAAGAAAGTTGAGGTTCCACCATAAAACCAATTGGTAATATGGGAAATAGCTCAACTACTTATAAACATATGCACGGTCCCTATTCGCATTAATGTGGGATTCATTCTCAACACGTCCCTCTCACATGTGGCGAATTTTCAAGCCTAACACATGGACAAGACAAATTGGGTGACGTGGTGCAAGTGTGGCCCTTGGGATTCACATGTGGGACAACATGCTATGATACCATTAAGAAATTGAGGTTCCACCATAAAACCAATTGACAATATGAGGAATAGGCCAATCTCTTATAACCTCTTGCAAAATTTCTCCTTTCACCAATATGGGACTCTTTTACCTTCACATTTTCACATGCTCCCTCACATGTGGCAAATTTTCAGGCCAAACATGTGGACAACATGAATTGGGTGATATGGAGCACATGCCCCTCACCTATGGCAAATTTTCAGGCCAAACATATGGACAACACGAATTGGGTGATATAGAGCACGTGTGGCTGTTACGCTTTACATGTGGGCCAACCCACTCTGATATCATGAAGAAAGTTAAGATTCCACCATAAAACCAATTGGCAATATAGGGAGTAGCCCAACCTCTTATTTGCAAGGTTCTTCTTTTCACCAACGTGGGACTATTTTACCTTCACATCTTCACACGCCCCCTCATGTATGGCGAATTTTCAAGCCAAACACGTGGACATCACGAATTAGGTGATGTAAAGCATGTGTGACCATTGGGCTTCACACATGGGCCAACCTGTGATAATACCATGAAGAAAGTTGAGTTTCCACCATAACACCAATTGGTAATATGGGAAATAGCCTAACTACTTATAAGTACATGCAAGGTCCCTCATCTCATCAATGTGGGATTCATTCTCAACATACTTAAACTAAATCATAGAAAGGAAAAGATAAACACGTGTATATATATATATCAGACAACTATTGGGCAGTTCAGTAATGTACATATATACACTATATATATATATATATATATATATATATATATATATCAGACAATTATTGAGCAGTTCAGTAATGTACATATATACACACACGCACAAAGTACAAAAAGATAACAAATGAACTATATATACATGTTGAGCCACAATACATACATCACATGTACAAACCTAAGGCTTAAGGGTAAATGCTTCAAAACCAAGAGAATTAAGAACCGTGAATCATGTTTTTGTACACACAAAATTGGGTGTGTTAGGGCTCATTCTCTGATTAGATTATCTATTTCACTTTTCATTCTCGCTAGGCTTTTCTCTTCCTCCAGAGGACCCCATAAGTGCTCATCATCAAGCAACACAAATTGCACCATCACAAACTTCTATGGTGTCTTCCTTGATCGAGTGGTGTGTCGAGCAGGCAATGTGGCATACCATTCGACAGCAGAAGAATTGATTTCAATAATGGCCAATGCAACAAAAGCAAAACCTAAATGAAGGTTGCAACTCGTTTCTCCCATAACATTCCATAGTTGGTATGTCCAAATGGGGAAGATGTGTTAATCATAGGCACCAAGTATCTCAATTGTGTGGTGGAGATTGATGCCGAAGCAATGACCATGACATTGGACAATGGTGTGACTCTTAGGCAGCTCAGTAGTGAAGCTACCAAGGGAAGGCTGGCTTTGCCTTATGCAGCATACTGGTAGGGTTTAACCATATGAGGCTTACTGGGGACTTAGACGCATGGTAGCACATTATGGGGCAAGGGAAGCTCGGTTCATAAGGGAACACTACCTCAACCTACATGCCCCACTCACAAAGCTTCAACATACAAGCTTCAACAAAAGAAAATTCAAAGAACTTAGCGAAGAAGGCTTTGGTGTATTTAACACAATACGTTGAAATGAAGGAAAGCTTATTTATTGATATCCCCGATAAGTTACAAATATGTACATATACTTGAGTCAAATTAAACAAACAAAAGGGAGCCTTCACAAAGGTTGCTTAGGAGAAGTCTCAGCAGTCGGTAGAGCCCTAGAAAAAGAAGGCACCGGAGGGGGATCATTCGGAGCCTCAGTACTGGACAGAACCCTAGAAGGAGGAGGCATCAGAGGTTGATCATTTGGAGCTTCATTATGCGGTACAGCCCCAGAAGACGAAGGCAATAAATGCCTTTGGAACAAACCCACAAATCTCTGATGATCAAGTAAAACATGACCATCAGATTCCTTCATCTGGTCAAGCTTCCTCTTCATGTTTGTAGCATAGTCATGTGCAAGCCGGTGCAACTGTTTATTCTCATGCTTGAGCCTTCTAATCTCCTGTTTGAGACTCATCACTTCAGCCGCCAATGATTCAACTTGGCGGGTTCGAGCAAATAGGCGTTGGGCCATATTAGACACAGAACCTGCACACTGAACACTGAGAGCCAGAGAATCCTTAACAGCCAACTTATCAGACCGTTTGGAAAGTAGTCTGTTATCTTTGGGAGTGAGAAGGTTCCTGGCCACTACCGCAGCGGTCATATCATTCTTCATCACGGAATCCCCAACGGTAAGAGGACCAGTAGGGGAGACGAAGGATGGGCGCCATATGTTGTCTGGAGAAGGCGGGGCTGCCTCTTCAACAAGGTTCAAGTCAAAACGACGGTCGGAGGGGCCAGACATTTTCAAAGGTGTTGAAG